ACACACACACAGACACACACACACACACACACACACACACACACACACACACACACACACACACACACACACGAGCTCACACACGTGCACTCAATGGGACCTCGGCTTCATCACTTCCTGTGCTACTGTGTGCCAAGATGTATTGTAATCCAATAACATAAAATAACATGGCCTATGATGTTATTTATGTTATTCTCTCTGAGAAGAACGCCGGTAAACCTGGCAGTGTTGAAACTGAGTGAAGCAGGAGTGCTAGACAAACTCAAAAATAAATGGTGGTACGATAAGGGCGAGTGCGGACCCAAGGACTCGGGAAGTAAGGTCAGTTTCTGGACGGAAAACCGCAAGCAAACCTGAAAACCGCAGCTCTGAAAAACACAAATACTATCATGAAGTGAATGTGATGTGTTTTCAGAAAGAAAAAGATGACAGTTGTCTTAAAATGTCGCTGTCATCATCATAAAGAGATTTGTTTCGATTTTAACTAAATGAATAAATAAATAAAGAATGAAACATTGTGACATCACAATACAAGAATGCTGCACTGTGATGTCATGATTCAAGTAAGACACTTTCATGATGTCATAATAGTGTTCGGTTTGGTCTAGAATGCAGCTTTGTTACAGAATAATGGATGAGTTCATTAAAATGAACAGCAAATTGGAGAGAATATGGCACTACAGCGGCATAATATTCACTCAATTAGCTTCAAGACTAGTTAGTAGAAACACATTATGGCTGTAAGATTATACGATTATATTCCATACAAATTAAAGTAATTTAGTTAGTTTTTTTCCCAAATGTGATCAAGATGAGCAAAATTTATGGTTGTAGAAGATTTCATACAGCTATTTTGTGCCATCTTAGAGAGTGCCAGGTTGTATAAATAATTTTTTTTTTGTATATTATAAATAATTTTCAAGTAAACATGAATGAGCAGGGGCTGTTGGACAAATTGAAAAATAAATGGTGGTACGACAAGGGCGAATGTGGCAGCGGGGGCGGGGACTCGAAGGTTAGCCACCGATGAAACGCAGAGGAGTGGTAAAAAAAAAAAAGATGACAATGTGATGCAACAGAGACATCTGCCCTGACACCATGGCCCTCGCCGGCCAGTAACGAGAGAGAAACCGACAAATGTGTCGAAGGAGAAACGCACTGAAAAAGAAGCAATTACTGTCAAAACAGAAATATTTGCTAAAAGAACAAATGAGAGCTGTAACTGCACAGAAATCAAATAAAAGAAGAATATGGTTGCTTTATATATATATATATATATATAGGGTACATAAGTCTGTGAACATATGTATAACTATTTGAAATTCATCAAATGAAAATTAGAATTAAAAATTAAAGTACCAGAATAACAATTTGAATCAAAAGTTACATTGAAAAATGTAAACTGAATTCGATGAAAAATTAACATTAATTTCAGAAAAATGTGTCAACATATAAAAAATGTAAAAACAACAACAACAACAAAAACCTAAATAATAATAATAATAAATACAAATTCTAATCTCATAAAAAAACTATTTGAGTCAAGTTAAATAATATTAAGTTCAACTGGAAAAACATTGTATTAAATACATTTACACATTATATATATATATCTATATATATATATACACATACACACACATATATATATGCATACATACTTATTACTATGTATTATGTGTTATTATTACAAAAATTATAATATTAAAATAACTATTTGAGTCAAAAGTTAAAAATAATTTAATTCAAAAATTAACATTTCAGAAAACTTGTAATTATAATACAAATTATTATAACAAATAATTTGATTGATTAAATAAAAATTAAATTAGGACAATTTGTATTATTATACATTATTTATTGTTATTAAAATTATAAAATCAAAATAACTATTTGAGTAATATTTGTAATAACAGAAAACAACAAAATAATGATTTGAGTAATATTGTTTTATAATAACAGAAAAACAATTTGAATCATGTTATAATAAAGAAAATGTAAAATTGTATAAAAAAGTATAAAATAAATACACATGCATAACGTTTATCTTAGAGAGTGCCAGGTTGTATAAATAATTTTTTTTTTGTATATTATAAATAATTTTCAAGTAAACAATGTATTTTTTGTAATATTTCAAATAACTAATTATTTTAATTAATTATAATTTAAATAAAAATTAAATAATTTACTTTATTTTCCACAATTTGATCCATAGATTTGTTCATTTAAATGCATTTTAAACATTTTTGTTTGAAGTATTGAACAGAAATGTGCAAAATACAGTCATTTACTTAGTTATGAGGGGGCTTTTTTTCAAATGCAACAAAAACATACGAGAAATATTTAAAATAATTAATTATAATTTAAATAATAAATAAATATGTTTAAAATGTATTTAAATACATTTAAATTAATACATGAATGTATCAAACTGGGGAAAATATTTAATCATTATTTAAATAATTAACTATTATTTAAATAATAATTAAAATAATTATTATACAAATTATTATTTAAATAATAATTAAATAATTTACTTTAAATATTTTTCCCAGTTCTATAAATTTTGGTTTAATTTAAATGCATTTTAAACATTTTTATAAAAGTATAAAGATAAATATAAGACTATATACTGTGTAAAATAGACATTTAGTTAATTACTAGGGTTTTTTTCAAAATAAGAGAAATATTTAATTATTATTTTAATGAACTATTATTTAGATAATTAAATAATTTACTGTAAATAATCATTTTTCCCAGTTTGATACTAAACAAAATACAATCATTTGGTTCCAGAAGGTGCCAGAAATCACTAAGAAAACTAAGCTAAACCACCAAAAACGATTAAAATTTCATTTAAATCATAGCCCTTCTGTTCATGTTTGAAATCTAAATGACAGTGGATTTCATGCTATCTGTAATAGGACAATGTAATGATGTTAAATCAATGGCACCAGTAATTCAAGCTGATTGTATCATATTATGAACCGTAATTAAATATCTGTCATGTGTAAATGTGTTTGAGTCTTCCACTCGCCAATTCCTGCCTCTCTAACGGCCTCGTTTCTCCCTCCTTCCCCTCTGCACCGCATCCCTCTCGCTCCCAGGACAAGAGCTCGCAGGCGCTGAGCCTGAGCAACGTGGCGGGAGTTTTCTACATCCTGGTGGGCGGCCTGGGTCTGGCCATGATGGTGGCCCTGGTCGAGTTTTGCTATAAGTCCCGCGCCGAGGCCAAGAAACTGAAGGTGGAATCGGCCGAACTGAATTTTAGCCCCGCTCCCAGCCCAACGCACAGTGTGCAGAACTTAGCCACTTATAGAGAGGGATACAACGTGTACGGCTCTGACGCAGTAAAGATATAGGGGTAGGACAGAAAGCCTGCTTGCGGTCGCAGGGGTTCGGCCTGAGCCTCGTCTGTCATATAGCTGCAGCAGACGTCCGCTAATGTTGTGACAGCTTCCCGTCCCTCCGTTTACTTACGTTCCTTCTTGCTTTGTTCACTTCTGAAAGAGACCCCTTCATTTCTGTCGCCTGTCGTTCTTTTCTTTGTTTTCGTATGGCATCTGCCTTGACTAGAACGTGTTGGGATTGCATTGGTTTGGTCTTCTTGGCTGCAGTTGCTGGTGTTTTTGCACTGTTGGCTTTCTGTTTCAGACACCTGCATTAAAACAAACGGCACACGATGACAAAAACACACACACACATGGACAAAGCTGCCATATTGCATTAGGAGCTCAAATTATTACCAAACCAAACATCTTAGTATGCATCCTTCAAACACTTTATAAAGGAATGCTGCTTATATATTTCTGATTTAGAGATGTTAGCTCTCTGCTATAGACCGGCGGTTCTCAACGGGTGGGTTTTGATGGACAAAAGCAATGCTAAATGCAAATAATATCATGCAGCTAACCACATAATCTTCTTAATAAATCAATTCACTTTCAAAAAGCGTCAAATTAAACTTTATAGTATTTTGGCATAAATTCGCAAAAGTCTAATGAAATAGTCACTTAGATGGTTATTTTTGCAACAAATACACTGTTTAACCCTTGTATTATATAAAAAATCCTAGGCACGATTTTTAGGCTCAGATTGACCCTAACTGGATTCAATATAATTCACCCAAAATCACACTATGAAAAACAAACAAACAAAAATATAGTAAATCTTCAGTAAATCATTAGGTAAAAATAGTCTTTAGCATTAGTAGTGTTAGTACTTACACATTGCAAACAGAAAAATAAACATGCAAACATATGTCTTTTTAGAACTTAAAACTTTCTTTCACAAACTGTACATTTTAT